GCTTTGCATCACAGAAATAAATTATATTTTAAAGGATATTAAAATAGAAACCATTATTTTATATTGTAATAACATTTTGCAAGATTATTGTTTTTTTCTGTATTTTTGATCAAATAAATGCAGCTTTGATGAGCATAAGAGACTTCTTTAAAAACATTACAAGTCTTACTGATCCCAAACTTTTGAACGGTAGTGTATGTAATTTTTTATATTTCAAGTAAGTAATGTAGGCAGGTTGTTACTGCACTAGTGGTCTGAACCTCAACTGTGAAACCCAAAGACCATCCAGACACAGTCTTGAGCACTTACTATCTGATTCAGAAGATTCAGTTAAGAAGCAGATACCGGAATTAAGGTTACACAAAATATCTGTTGTATTTTTGCTATTTCCATATTATTTTTTTCCCAATTTAATGTGTTATGTTGTAATAATAAATACCAAACATGAAAGTAGGGTCTTCTCAGCTGCACTTGAAGGCAGCATTAGTATTTGTCTGGTCATGTGATCTCAACACGTCAAATAAAACTGCTTAAATTACAACACTCATTAGATATTCTTCAGAAATGTCATTCATCATTTCTGTAGAGCTGGACATTTTAATAAGGATCAAATGAGTGAGTTCAGCTTTGAGCTGATCCATGTCTCTATCACCTCAGGGGTCCTTGCCCTGAAAAACGTTGAAGACCCCTGCTATAGAACATAATCAAGCTTTTTGTTTACGGTCTACTTGAAGACACTCTGAAATCTTGCTCTCTACCGCTGAACTGAGGAAAGTCTTCCGTCCCTGTTGAGCATTAACTCTGAGATGTACGGTGCTTTTAAAGGTGTTTTCCTTTAAAAATGTACGATATCTTTAAAAAAGACATGCATGGCGCTCAAATGTACTGTGGACTAAGCATTACAGTAATTTTCATTGTGCCCATATTAAGAAACGTTAAATTTTTTTCATTCAAGGTTAGCTTGTGTTGATTATAGTTTGCATGCATTTTGTACCACTTGACCATTTAAGCCCATCTTAAAAAAAAGTTAATTTATGAAAATAATCTGCTCTACAAAACAATTTATGATGTATTTATTTGTAAATGAATATAAAATGAATCACAAAACATTTAGTGTTTGTAGTTCACATGTTTAATTCTTTGTCAATCTATCTTTTAAGTAAGGCTAATGGTTTGACCTTTGAGCGCAAGCCACTAAAACACATCTTTACATTTAAAGGAAAATTATATACAAGTAAAAGGCACTATTTGTTCATACACAAAAAAACAATGCATTTGACAAAATATTAAAGTAGCTACTTAACAAAGAAATGGCTGAAAATTGCAGAAATGTGTTGATTTCTGAAGGGTCCTGAAACAGCTAAGTTTTTGGGTGTCTGTGTGAAATCCCCGAGCCAGCGTGCACATGGGCGGGGCTAACTCACCATTGCAAAATGTGATTGGTATGCAAAAAAAACATGTCAGGGAAGTAACAAATCACTGGATTGGTTGAAATAATAACTAGCATAAAATATTATTTTCCCTTCGTTTAACTTGACTTCAAAGTTGAAAGTGGGCTTAAAGGGTACATGGGCTTAATGGGTACACTTGACGTGTAGGTTATATTTCATAATAATAAAGTATATATGAATTAAAACATTTGGTATACGTTTGTAAATGTTGTCAATGTTTGTTCTCGTTGCATTTTACACTGTTTGGATCAGCAGGTTTCGTCAGCGTGCAGTGATTCGAGTTAATCATTTTCAGAAGAATTTGGCTCAATTGACTCGTTTGAAAAAGCTCCGTTTCACTCCATCGCTGCAGTGGCGGAATTCATGTTTATACCAAACTGATGCATCAGATAATGTTCATAGATGATAGATACAGAATTACGAAGTTACGTTCCATAACAATTAAGCCATTTTAAATAGCTTGTAAAAACTATAAAAGTTCTGCATTAATTTATAAACTTTAAATGATTAAAAACAAACCTTTCTTCAAATCTCAACAGATGCAGGAGAGCGGCGCAGCCTTGTGACGTCACGTGGCCAGACCAAAATAAAAGTCCTGCTCACAGGCTAAAATCAGACAAGTATCACAGAATCAGAATCAGAAAGAGCTTTATTGCCAAGTATGCTTGCGCATACAAGGAATTTGTTTTAGTGTCACAAGCTTCCAGTACACAGAGACAACAACAACAACAACAACACACAGACAATAAAAAATAAGATGAAAATACACATATGTAAATATAAACAGACAAAAATTGTGCTATAGATAATAGAATAGGAATAGAACAGAATGAGATGTACAAGGATGTAGGTGGTAACAAATAAATATTTAAGGTTATTACTAGTCACTGTCTTTTGAAAGTAATTATTTACATTAAAATATTACTGTCTCTGAATTGTAATGCGTAACACTACTTTTGAGTTACTTTCACCAAAATATCCACAGAAGTATGTGCAATGCTGTTTGTGTGTGCGTGAGGCGCCGGCGCGATCCAACAGCGGAAACAGACAAACAAACAAACAAACAAAACAAACAAATGCTACATCATTTTTGGTCATACAGATCATTCGAAACTTTGTGTTTACTTTTATTTCTGTTATCATCCTCTCGGTTTCCTTTCCGTGAACGTGTTTGAAGAGCGCCGCGCCACACAAAAATGAACCAAACTCAGTCTTTTTCTTTCATTTTGTTAACCTGTTAATTATTTAAGTCAAATCTATTTCGCGTATTCATTCATTCCTTTCCCCCTGGTTTCACAGACAAAGCTTAAGCCTAGTCCCGGACTAAAATGTCATTCTGAACTGTTTCAACTGAAAGAAACGTGCACTGACTGATCTTTGCGCCTTTGTTTTGTCTCAAGATGCACACCAGTAATGTTTTTTCTAAGGCGCATTTATAAAAATGTCCTAAATGAACTATGGCCTAATCCTGGCTTAGTCTAAGCCCTGTCTGTGAAACCAGGCCTAGACAACTATTTTAAATAGACAAACTATTTTACCCGTGGATTTTTTTCCTCTGGTGCTGTTCACCACTTAATTTTGAGTTAAAATAACGTGCGTAATGAGTAATAATATTACCCAAATGTAATTAGTAGTTAGTAGCAGTAGCAGTTATATTAGTAATATAGTAATATACTACTGTAATATCATTACTTTTGTAATGCGTTACTCCCAACACTGTATACAATATTATAAATAAGGTGACAGACGAGTTGACTTCTTGTAAATTACATGTTGTCCAATGATGTGCTGAAAGTATTAAGAACAACTAATGAAAGAATTTGACATTCTGTCTAAAAGGCAGAACTGTAAATGTTTGGGTGCAGAAAGCATTTATACAATATATGTACCTTGCAAATGCAAATAGTGACAAATGTTAGATTTAAATTTGTAAATATATATATATGATCAAATGTTTAAAAAAGAGAGTTTTAATTTTTTTTCAAACAGAAAAGGTCTGTTTATTTAAAATTTTATAATATGCAAGAACAAACAAAAGATCAAAACAATACAATACAAAATATATATTCAAAACCCCACCTCCACCCACCCCACTACCCATCAGACAAAAAGTATCAATTACATAAAAAAAAATACAAATACAAATTTGTTATACAAATTTGGGACTGTATTCCCTACTTGAGTTTTTCAACAAATGACAGAAAAGGTTGCCAGATTGCATAGAATCTCTGGGTAGACCCTTGAAGTGAGTATCTTATTTTTTCCAGTTTAAGATGTTGCATGACGTCCTTAATCCAATGAGAAAAAGTGGGGGGAAGAGGGTCCTTCCATTTAAGCAATATTAATCTTCTGGCAAGTAAAGTGGAAAAGGCCAACATTTTACAATTATAACCACTTAGACGCATGTTCTGTGCTGTGATGCCAAATATAGCAATAAAAGGAGATGGATCTATTGGCAATTCTATCATTTCTGAGAAAGCATCAAAGATCGATTTCCAAAAGTTATACAAAACATAGGCTTCTCTATGGAGTTGAAAAAATGTTTAGTTAGAAAAATAGGAAGATTTTGAAATAAATATAGGAACTTAGGCAATACATTCATCTTAATAGTATTAATTCTTCCACTTAAAGAGAGGGGCAGCAAATCCCAGCGTTTGATTCCCTGTTTCAGACCTTCTATCAAGGGCAGAAAATTAGCTTTATATAGATCCTTGTAATTGCGTGTAGCATTTAAAAGCCTCCTAACATTAAAAAAAGAGTACCGATTCTTTATGAATCCAGTCTGATCTGATGAAATAATGGAAGGAACGAGCGCCTCAAGACGTCGTGCTAGTAGTTTCGCAAGAATCTTAACATCCGAGTTTAAAAGGGAGATCGGGCGGTAGGAGCTACACTGAGAGGGATTCTTATCTTTCTTCAAAATAAGAGAAATAGTTGCTTCACGCATAGTTGGGGGGAGAGAGTTTAAGGACAAAGATTCTTTAAATACAGTGAGAAGCAGAGGTGCAAGTGTATCTGAATTTTTTTTAAAGAACTCAGATAGGAAGCCATCTGGCCCTGGTGATTTTCCGCATTGCATACTTCTAAT